GAGAGAGAGAGGGATGGAGAGAGAGAGGGATAGATGGATAGAGAGAGAGGAATGGGAGAGAGAGAGAGAGAGATAGATAGATAGAGAGAGAGAGGAATGGGAGAGAGAGAGAGAGAGGGATTGAGAGAAGGATAGAGGGATAGATAGAGGAATGGGAGAGAGAGAGAGGGATGGAGAGAGAGGGGGTGGAGAGAGAGAGAGACAGTGAGAGAGACAGATGGAGAGAGAGCGATAGATAGATACATAGAGAGGAATGGGAGAGAGAGAGAGACAGAGAGAGAACGAAAGATAGAGAGGAATGGAAGAGAGAGAGAGAGAGAGAGCAATAGATAGATAGATAGATAGAGAGAGAGGGATGGATAGAGAGAGAGAGACTAAGTTGGCAACAGCAAAGAAAGGCTGAGAGCGTTTAGCATAAATGCACCGACTACACCTATAATGTATTATTGTATTCACGGTTATTGAACCCGGAAAGTCCCGCTGAGGTTTCAAACTCTCAGTCCTCGGTTAGGGTTAGGGTTAGGGAGGAGAGAGGGAGGTTTCAGACTCTCAGTCCTGGGTTAGGGTTAGGGAGGAGAGAGGGAGGTTTCAGACTCTCAGTCCTGGCCACAGAGAGACCAGAATATACTTTCATATGAACTCAATTTAACAATCTTGCCCTTTACCTTCTTTCTTAAAAACTGCCTCAGTCCTTTTGGAGATGGACACGTCAGAGTTTGGCTCCTGAGAGTCTCGGTCTGAGCCTAAATCTAACTGTTATTGTGACCAGATCAAACACACGTCTCCACAGACTCTGATGCTTTTGATAATAAGTGTAAAACATTTAAAGGTTTAACCACGTGAGAGAGACTCAGGGTTGGTTTGATGAGCACTGGGACTGGGTTTGAGTCCGATTCTCTGGCCCAGTCTAACCCTTTCGGTGCCTACAGTACATCACGGTAATCCACGGCGATAGTAGTTTTAAAACATTCAAGTAGGGCTGGGCGATTTTGCCTAAAAAAAAAATCTTTTTTTTAAAATCGATTTTTAAAAGAAAAATTCAAGTTTCGATTCGATTTTCGATTTTTTTTTTCCAATGCACTTAAAAATGACTGGAGACATCAGATATATTGTCAAAAGTGCAAATTTATGGCTGTGATTGTCCTCAAGAGTTAAAATGCAAGTAAATGAGGCTCTGTTATTCAACAATTTCAAGCTTTAACCCAGGTTTAAGCAAAAGTGCAACATCAACTTCACAGTAGCTTACATTTTCTGATTAAGAAATCAGATAACTACATATTTTGTAACATATAACATTACAATAAAAAAATAAAATAAACTCTTCTCTTAGCCTCTCAGCATAATGTGAATATAAAAAAAATTAAACATGCCTGTGGCAGACATATAGCTACTAACTAACTACTAATCAAAGGATAAACAAATGTAAACTTTTATCTTTAACAACAAAACATTAGATCTCTGAAATATTGTGCATGCTCATTCTAAGCATTTTTTGCAAGAAAGATGAGCCTGTCCACAACCTCGGGTTTGAGGCAGGCCCGGTTGCAGGTAACTATTCCCCCACCCACACTGAATACCCTCTCGGAGGGAGCACTAGTAGCTGGAATAGAAAGATATTTTTTAGCCAGTAAGCTTAGTCTTGGAAAATTGGCCTGGTGCAGCTTCCACCATTCAAGAGGATCTGTGTCTGGCTCTATGTCTGGAATAAGCAAATATGTTGCAAGCTCAGTCTCAATTTTTGTTTTCTCTGATTGTGGGTGTGGGGTGGATGGTGCACAGTTTTTAAAGAAGGCACCCAGAGTCATTTTCTTTTTTGGTGGGGTGTTCTCTTGAACATCAGAGGGCCCAGCTTCCTCTGTGGTAGAGTTGCAGAGAGCAGAGATCTCAGACACTGCTCTTTTTTTGACAGCTTCCAATTTGCTTGCATCAATATAGGTTGTACGGAACCTCGGGTCTAAAAGTGTGGCCATGTCCAAAAGTTCCTCTTTCTCCAAATCACAGTATTTACGTTCGAGGTAACGCATGATGTTGGCTTTGATTGTTTTTGTTAGCTCCAAATCTTCCTCCTCTGGCAGAAGGAGACTTGTTTTAAACAAATGCAGCACTGGTTTGATGCATGACACACTGACATATGATTCCCCTGACAGTGCATCAGTGAAGTTCTGGAGAGGTTTCACTGCTTTGTTGGTGGCTTCTAATACTTCCAAATCTTGCCACGTGGGAACAAGATGACGTGTTTTCTTGTCCGCACCAAGGACACGAGTTATTGCCTTCTCTTGCTCAAGAAAGCGCTCAATCATCTTTTGACGAGACCCCCAACGTGTTGGGGATTCTGAGATCAAAAGATGCTGGGGAAGTCCAAGCTCAGCCTGCACCTCTGTCATGTCTCGCCTTTTTTTCCAGCTGTAAGAGAAGGCTGATACAGCTTTTTTGCAGACCCCTATGGCCCGATCAATCCTTGGGTCCTTCACGCCATTCTCTGTGATAAATGTGAAAAGATATTTAGTATATTTCTTGTCTCTCCAAGCTTAGGCTATAAGTAGTGTTTGATTATGTGAGTTTTGACAAATTGTTCTGTACTTTCATCACAATTGTAATAGCTGTGACAGTTTAATACATGATGTTGTATAATAAATGCAGCTTAAGGAAAAGTCAGGTTTATTAGTTTATTACCTTATGTAACCCAGTCTAATTAAAAGCGCCCCACTTGTATGTGTAAACCAGTTGAAATATGTACCATGTTCTGGCTATTAAATTAATGAGCAAACAATACGCTACAATGTGTAAGTATGTGTCTATTTATTCTTACACCAACTCTTACCTATAGCGTTGTGGAGTTTGTGTCCAAAACACTGCAGGCTGGGCCAGTTGTTATCCTTAAGAGCTTTTATGATGTTGGTGCCACTATCAGTTGTCATGCAAACGAGTCGTTCCTCCGAAAGTCCCCAGGAGCTGAGAGCGTCTTTTAAACCATGGGCAATTATGTCACCAGTGTGGTCCTCGGGGAAATACGCTGTCTGGAGGCAGATGCTGCGCAGTGTCCAGCTGGTGTTGATATAGTGGACCGTCAGACTCATATATGGCTGCATCGTCCGGCTGGACCACAGGTCCGTGGTGGCTGAGTAAAACGTCATCTCCCCCAGCTCACCGCGGATCTTTTCACGAGTTGTATTGTACAGGTGAGGCAGCGCTACATCGGCGAAATACTTGCGACTGGGGACAACGTACCTCGCATCTAATACTTTTAACAGGCGATTAAAGCCTCGCTTTTCGACAGAATAAATTGGCAGCATGTCTGCGGCAATATAAAACGAGATAGCCTCTGTAATCGCTTTCCATCGCGCTCCATTCTTATCATAAGGCACACAGTTTGTAAAGCTCTCTAGAAGTGTAGTTTGCTTTTTAGCTGGTGTGCTAGAACTGCCGTCTTCGCTACGGCGCTGGCTGCACTTCTCCCATTCTACGGGATGCTTATTCCTCAGGTGCTGGAATAGATTTGTTGTACTGCTGCTCCCTGTAGCAATAGTCTTTGAACATGTTTTGCAGCGAGGCTTCGTCTGTCTTTCGTCTGCTGCATCAAACCCAAACCAGTCCCAAATTATGGAATTAACTGTGCCTTTCTTTGGAAGTAGTTCTCTGCTACACGCTGCCATTCTTGTTTTGACTGTGTTTACGCGGCGGAGGGGGCTGGCTCATAACGCTCTACGGTAACCCACAAGGACGAAACGCAAAAAACTCAGAAAAAAAATGTGGTGAAAAAAAAACTTGAGTTTGCAAAATAAAAATCCTTTTAAGCTACAAAATTGATAAATCGATAAAATCGATTTTTTGCCCAGCCCTACATTCAAGGCGCTAATTGCTAACGCTAACACAGGTCCCGACTGTGTGTAGACCGTGTCATTCATTCAGGCTCTGACGCCGAGGGGCCTTGTTCATTTCCAGGCAGGAAGTAATGTGGTTTCCTCCAGACCTCAGAGAAGAACACCACAAGTGAAGAGATAAACCGATAACGCCCAGTTTTAGCAAATACGTCTGATTAAAACGAGGCTTGTTTCAGAACCAAGTATTATAAAGTCATAACCGACCATTTATCTGTCTGCAGCGTTTGTAAATGTCACTGAATAGGAAGTATGACTACGTTAGAGGGTCGTACAGTGGACTATTGAACTACTGTGTGTGAAGGCACGGAAGCAGGATGAGCTCTGAAGCTAAGCCGGACAGGGCCTGGTTAGTACAGTGATGGGAGACCTCGGGGAACACAGTGGTGCAAGACACTTCACCCACATTGCCTAGAATGTGTGTGTGTCTGCATGTGTGTGTGTGTGTGTGTGTGTGTGTCTGCATGTGGGTGTGTGTGTGTGTCTGCATGTGGGCGTGTGTGTGTGTGTGTGTGTGTGTGTGTGTGTGTCTGCATGTGTGTGTGAGTGTGTGTGTCTGCATGTGGGTGTGTGGGTGTGTGTCTGCATGTGGGTGTGTGTGTGTCTGCATGTGTGTGTGTGTGTGTGTGTGTGTGTGTGTGTGCCAGCCCTACTTGGCCCTACTCTACTCTGCTGTGAATGCACAGAAGCAGAAAGAACTGTTGTCAGCATATAAAAATGCACAATGGGTAGAATCCTCCAGCTCTGGTCCTGACCAGGGCGCGGCACTAGCCCACTGCTCCTGATGGAAGCCTTAGAGACATCAGGATGGGTCAAATGCAGAGGACAAAAGAGGACAATACAGTGCACTAATAATAAGACTGAATTTCTCCCATACGGGGGATCAATAAAGTATCTATCTATCTTGTGAAAATTCCAGGGTAAAAGTAAAACTAAATCTAATGAAAGTTATAAGTCACCACAGAGACGTTATCTGCTTATATGAAGACAGTATGTAATCTCTGCTGATTAAACTATAGGTGAATGGTAAACATGTTTATAACAAAGATAGAGAGGACTTGTTCGAGCAGAGCGTCAGACTGTTAGAGCATAATTGTGTGGAACCAGTTCAAGTTCAGGTCAGTGTTTACTGCACAGACATCTCACTCTGCTCCAAACTCAGGAAAGCACCATTCTGAAAACGTCAGGAAAACACAAGTTAAAGGAGCTATACCCGTTTCTGCAGGTTTTTGGCACAAATCCTTTATGTCCAGCGTACATCGGACTGGCAGCTGATTATATCCGTGGCCTATGAGTTGCTGCCCCGCACACATCGACAATCTGGCGAAAACAACTCCTGTATCAGGCCAGTCTGAGGAATAACAGCAACTGGCCTCAACTACAGTGTGTTTTCTGACATCAACTGTAGAGGGCGCAATACACACAATACACACATGTTGTTGGAGCACATCGGTGATATCTCCGGATCTTTTCTAGTGGCCCGAAAAGTAGAACACGGGCAACTGACTGAATCCGGAGATCGACTGTTTATCTCCAGTTGTAAGAGCGCTCACATCGACCGATTTCAACTGATCATCTCCATCATCTACTCTTAGTCGCCAAAAGCCGCCTGGAAACTAGTCGTCTCCAGTTACTCTGTCCATGTACACAGGCTTTACAGTGGATGAGACGTAGCGGCGCGTTTCGACCTCTCTCTGGACCTTTTCCTTTATGCTTTATTACATTATTTAACCCTAACCTTCCCTCTCACGTTTCAGAATCAGAATCATTTTTATTGCCATGTAAGTAACAGGAAGTCAGGCTAGGAAAATGCTTTGGCTCTCGGTGCAAACAAGTCGAAAGAAGAGAAAGAAAAGAGCATAAAAAAAACATTTCTAAAGCCTAAAATGTTCTAAAATATAAAAAATGAAAGAGTAAAGTTATTATAAATATTACTAAATACATGCACTCTCTCCTCTTGTGTTTTTGCTTTCATTGTTATTCTGGTACCGTCTTTGTTGTATGATGTATGATGAGAGACCACTAAAGTACAGTAGGTCAAATCTACCTCTGGTCCTGCTCCTATTGAGGCCACTAAACCATCGTGAATGACTCGGTTCTGATATTTCTCTCTCTATTCTGTGTTCATAGTTTCAAATACAAATGTAAGAATGTGTGTGACATATTAGCAGCTGAGAAACCAGATCAAAGCACTTCAAAGTGTCCCATGGTTCTGTGAGTGGATGAATATAGCACCAGTGGGAGCAGAGGACGGCTGAAAGACACATGGTCGGGAGGAGGCAGAGTGTGTGAAGCTGTGAGAGGCTAAATATAGAAGCAGCACCGGCGCTCGCCATTGGACGCCGCCTCCCGTTCAGGACACGCCATTGGACGCCGCCTCCCGTTCATGAATGATATCAAAGAGATCAATGAGATTCACTACAGTTGTGAGGTGAGCCTGCTCAGGTGGAGGGGATGTCATATGGTTGTACCAGGAAGAGGAGGATACAACAGTCTCATAGTACCAGGAAGAGGAGGATACATCAGTCTCATAGTACCAAGAAGAGGAGGATACATCAGTCTTATAGTACCAGGAAGAGGAGGATACATCAGTCTCATAGTACCAGGAAGAGGAGGATACATCAGTCTCATAGTACCAGGAAGAGGAGGATACATCAGTCTACTACAACCCTACCCTACTCTACCCCACTCTACTCTACTCTACTCTACCCTACCCCACTCTACCCCACTCTACTCTACTCTACTCTACTGTACCCCACTCTACCCTACTCTACCCCACTCTACTCTACTCTACCCCACTCTACCCCACTCTACCCCACTCTACCCCACTCTACCCCACTCTACTCTACTCTACTCTACTCTACCCCACTCTACCCCACTCTACTCTACTCTACTCTACCCTACTCTACCCCACTCTACTCTACTCTACCCTACTCTACCCCACTCTACTCTACTCTACTCTACCCTACCCCACTCTACCCCACTCTACTCTACTCTACTCTACTCTACCCCACTCTACTCTACTCTACCCCACTCTACCCTACTCTACTCTACTCTACTCTACCCCACTCTACCCTACTCTACCCTACTCTACCCTACTCTACCCCACTCTACCCAACTCTACTCTACTCTACCCTACTCTACCCTACTCTACTCTACCCCACTCTACCTAACTCTACTCTACTCTACCCTACTCTACTCTACTCTACCCTACCCTACTCTACTCTACTCTACTCTACCCTACTCTACCCTACTCTACCCTACTCTACCCTACTCTACCCTGATTGGGAGTGTTTCCTGGTCCTGTGTAACCAGTACCAGGTCCTTCTTTAGTCCCTCTTGGTCCTGGTTCTATCCAGGCCGAGCTGGTCCTAAAGTGTTCTAACTGACAGTGATTGGTCAGAGAGCTGCTGGAAGCCATGGTTACCAAGGAATTTACCTGGACACTAGTTTGTTTTCTGTTTTGTCCAACCCCTTCTTAAACTGAGAATTGTGGTTTCTTTATT